AGTGGGTGGGATATATTAGGCAGCTAGTGAACATTTTCTCAAAGTTGATGTGTTAGAAGCAGGAAAAATGGGCAGCGTGAGGATTTGAGCGACTTTGACAAGGGTCAGATTGAGATGGTTAGACGACTGGGTCAGAGCGTCTCTAAAAGTGCAGCTCTTGTGGGCTGTTCCTGGTCTGCAGTGGTTACTACCTATCAAAAGTGGTCCAAGGAAGGAAAAGCAGTGAACCAACGACAGGGTCGTGGGTGACCAAGGGTCAGTGATGGACACGGGAAGCGAAGGCTGGCCCGTGTGGTCCGATCTGACAGAAGAGCTACTGTAGCTCAAATTGCTGAAAAAGTGAATGCTGGTTCTGACAGAAAAGGTGTCAGAACACACAAAGAGCATCACAGTTTGTTGCATACGGGGCGGCATAACATTATGAGCACCAGGCTGCCCGGGTGGTCACAATGTTACGGCTGATCGGTGTATGTTTTTTATTATGGCTGCTTGTGTTTGGACAATGTTTAACATCTGAAAACTTCTTTTGTTCCACTAAAAAAATGGGTTTATAGTTCCCATATTAATATTTAAAGGCATGATTTTGATATTAGTGCAGACTCCTGTCACACACAGTGTTACAGTAGGTCTCTATTCTCTACTGTACATGAGAGAAATGTGAATACTGTGGTCAGAAAAGTCAAACACTCATTCCCTGATATGATCTGGCTGTGAAAAGCACACCTCAGCAGAATGTTGATTTTAGGAAAGCCTTCCCACTTCTCCCGGCACTCCGGGCACTCGTTCTTGTGAGAGGACTCCCACCACAGAGCCAGACAGTGGCGGCAAAAGTTGTGGCCGCAGGTCAGGGTGGTGGGGTTCACCAGGATGTCGTAGCAACAGTGACACGAGAATTCATGCTCTGAGATGTTGGTGGTGGAGGGCTGAGGAGGTTCAGAGGAGCGAGGGGGGTCGTCCATTAATGCCGCCGGACCGTCGTCGAACGAATCCCAGTCCATCTGCTGCAACGTGTCCGAGTCTGAGGAAGAGGAGAGACGAGGTTACAACGGAAGAAACAGACTGAGAAAGCGATTACAGTCTGAGCTTCTCTGTGTTTATACTGCAGTTCACATTTATTTCACACGTAAACAATGCTGTCATTCATTTCTTAACAATATAATAATAATACCACCAAAGTAAATGATTTTCCAGAGCCGACGAACAACCTAATCTCACTTTACAAAGATATAAAACAGAGAAAATCTTTACATTAGAGACGCTGGTTGGCATTTTTACTTCAAACAACTAACGCTTACTATGGGACCGATTACATTTAAGATACTGTGTTTTTTGGGCCGGTGATATACTTTGGATCTGACTTCATTCTCCGTTTATATTCCTTGTTACACCTCCTCTGTTATCTACATGAACCAAAGCGAGCAGTCATCCGAGCTGCAAAACAGCTTTCATCCGTCTCCTTTGTGGTACAAAGAGACACGAGCTTGTGTAAAGTTTTTGGTTGTTCTTCTTTGTTATTCAAATCTCTGTAGCTGTGCTGGAAAGCAACCTGCATCGCCTCCTTTTTTACAAAACAGCAGAAATACTTTCACTTTCCATTAATGACGCATTAAAAGCAGATTTTAGTCTACACAGAACAAACGTGGGCTGTAAACTGTATAAAGCACATTAACTAGAGATAACCAGTGTTTATTTCTAACCTGGTGCACAGCAGATTTATCACTTTATTCCCAAATTATTTCAGACTAGGAGGCTAAACTTTGGACTCTAGCTTTAGGATTTGAAACTTTACTTGAACTTACAATGTGACACACACGAGAAACGATATAAATATAGAAAAATCAAACTCGCATCAGCTTATTGTGAAGTATTGTTCGTAGTTTGTGAGTGTTGACTTCATGACGTTACTTTTAAACCCAGTGGACGTGTTTTTGCTCACGATGCGTGAACAGAAAGAAAGCGATAACACTGACTGAAACCCAGACATCTTATGGATTAACCAACTCAGTAGTTTAACACCCGATAACGTGAACTTATCGATCGATGTTGACGTTAGCTGTGAGTGGCTAGCTCGCCGTTAGCTACCAACACCAGCTCGGTCAGCAACAACATATACTGCCCTTTTGTTTTTCTTTCTTAAAAGCAGAAAAGATGCATTAAAACTGACAAACACACGTTACAAACACTGAAAATGCCAAGAACGAAACTAGTCATCGAGCAGCTGGCATCTGTTAGCTTTAGTGTTAACACCTCCAGTTAAATAACAACGTAGGTTTCTTGTACCTCTCCTCAGGAATGACCTTTGACAGGCGACCCGCTGACAGACGACATAACTCCCCGTTAAACAACTCACACCGTGTGTTTCTCGTTGAGTTAAACCCGCTTTAAAGCCTCCGTGGAGCAGATATCAGGTATTTCTGTCGCCATGGCTCCGCGCTGCTGTGGAAAACCCCACGTAACGTAACGTAACGTAACGTAACCCAACCCACCCACACGTAGACTACGCGTACGCGTACGCGCACGCAGGTCAACGTCATGCGGGTACCTGATGTACCTATGTCGTCATTGGTCACACACTCACCTGTCCTCTATATATATGTGTGTGTCTCTGTGTGTGTGTGTGTGTGTGTGTGTGTCTGTGTGTGTGTCTCTGTGTCTCTGTGT